CTCAAGTATTTCTTGGGAATTGAGGTGGCTCGATCGCAGCGAGGCATATTTCTCTCTCAAAGGAAATATGTCTTGGACTTGTTGACAGACACAGGAATGCTAGATTGCAAACCTGCGGACACTCCTATTGTTCAGAATCATCATCTTGGAGAATATCCGAATCAAGTTCCAACTAACAAAGAAAGATACCAAAGGTTAGTGGGAAGATTGATCTATTTGTCACATACTCGACCAGACATTGCTTATGCAGTGAGCGTTGTCAGTCAATTTATGCACTCTCCAAGTGAAGACCACATGAATGCAGTTCTTCGGATACTTAGATATTTGAAGTCTGCGCCTGGAAAAGGACTTATGTTCTCAAAGCATGGTCATCTAAATATTGATGGTTATTCATATGCAGATTGGGCAGGTAATGTAACAGATAGAAAATCCACATCGGGTTACTTCACATTTGTGGGAGGTAATTTGGTGACATGGAGGAGCAAGAAACAGAATGTAGTAGCTTTATCCAGTGCAGAAGCCGAGTTCAGAGGCATGACTAAAGGGATTTGTGAACTTCTTTGGTTAAGAAAGTTGCTTACTGAACTTGGGTATAAACCTACATCCACAATGAATCTCTTTTGTGACAACAAGGCTGCTATAGCCATTGCACAGAATCCAGTTCAGCATGATCGTACTAAACATGTTGAGGTGGATCGACACTTCATCAAACAGAAGCTTGAGGCTAAAGTGTTTCAGTTTCCTTTTGTGAAATCCGAGGATCAATTGGCGGATATTTTGACAAAGGCGATTTCCCGTAAAGCATTCCACAATTCACTGGATCAGTTGGGCATTGGCGACATCTATGCACCAACGTGAGGGGGAGTGTTGGCGTGACTTGTGGATATTGACTTACTTTCCTTACACACCAAGGATTCCTATTTTATTTGTAATTGATTTACTTTAATTCCTGATTTCCTACTGTAAATAGATTTAGGAATTTATTATTTACTTGCCCATTCAGGTTTTGTTGTATTATAAATATGACCTCCTACAAGGAGAAGAATACATAGAAAATTCCCACAAACAAATATTCTCTTATAGTTTTCATATTTTAGCAATTGCTACATCAAAAGGATTTGCATGAAGTTTTAGGTGGGGGACATTCTGCTCCCGCTGGTTCTCCCTCCCTTCCCGGCCTGATACAATACAACCCATTTTATCGCTCACCGAAAGCATCTAATTTATCCGGTTACGTCAAATAAAACCCTTTCTTACTGGCCATGGTTTGTGGAAATATGTTGATGATACCTATCAGCCACCCACACCCACCACCACAACCAAAACCACCACTATTCCTTCCTCCGACTCTTTTGATTCCTCCTCTACCACTACTTTCCCTTGAGCCTAATCCTGAAATTCCTGCTTGGAACTAACGGGATCAGCTGGTGGTACTAATATATATATATATGTTTCAATATTTCCTGCTAAATATCCAAACTTTTTTTTCTTCTAAGAATACTACATTGGCTTCTTACCTAAGTTACGTCGATGCTGGAAAATCTAAAATTGGCTTTTTACCTGATGTTGGGATTTCCTTACTGTCTTTCAGATATTGATGAGTGGAAGGATTCAAACCCCTGCCCTATCGGAACGTGCAAAAATTTATTGGGACATTATTCTTGTAAATGTCCCAAAAGGGTACAAATATGAAGCCATGGATGAAAAAAAATGCATCAAAGACAACAATCTTTCAAAGATCATTCTCCCGCTCGTTATTTCATTGGGTATAGATATATATCTATATGCATTTTAATTTGCATGTTAACATGCATCATACAATCATAGCCTAAAATTTATTTTACTCGTCGAGACAGTTTTGGATCAAAATCCGAGATTCTCATAACGTACTTTCTCCTTATTAATGCAGAAGAAAACATCAACACATAAGTCATGCTAGCTAGCCTGTTCCAATTTCAGCCTTTTTAATACTAAACATTTTTAACAGCTTAGAAATATTGATTAATCTCAGTAAGAAGACCCAAATATGAAACAAACTCAAATGTGGTAGTTGTAATTTCGACCAAAAAAAAAAGTTGTAGTTGTAATTCTTTTAATTACTGCAGGTGCCAGTGGAGGCCTCTTGCTTTTAGTGGTTGGAAGTTTATGGATATATTGGGGTATGCAGAGAAGAAAGTTCATCGAACTCAAAGAGAAATACTTCAAAGAAAATGGTGGCTTATTGTTACAACAACAACTCGCTAGTCAAGGAGGCTCTATGGAAACAACAAAAATCTTTAGAGCAGAAGAGCTTGAGAAGGCCACGAACAACTACCGCGAAAGTAGAATCCTTGGAGGAGGAGGCTATGGAACGGTTTACAAAGGAATATTACCAGACAATAGCGTGGTTGCCATAAAGAAATCAAAAGTTAATGGTGCATGCGCCGGCTCAGAGTGAGGATTTTATTAATGAGGTGATTATTCTTTCCCAAATCAAGCGTAGAAATGTGGTCAGGCTCTTAGGTTGTTGTTTAGAGACACGTGCACCGTTACCGGTTTACGAGTTGATTGCTGAGGGCACTCTTTCTGAGCACATCCATAACAAAAGCAGCCTAATTAACATCATCACTTTCATGGGAGCTGAGATTGAATATAGCGGTAGAAACAGCAGGGGAGCACTGGCATATTTACACTCATCTGATCTCGTGCAAATTATCCACTGCTCTCGTGCAAATTATCCACCGAGATGTGAAAGCAACAAATATACTACTAGATGAAAATTACAGTGCAAAAGTGTCTGACTTTGGGGCTTCAAGATTGATCCCTCTAGATCAAACTCAACTAACAACGTTAGTGCAACGAACACTCGGATACTTAGACCCCGAATACTTCCTCACGAATCAATTAACAGAAAAGAGTGATGTATATAGCTTCGGAGTTGTCCTTATGGAGTTACTGACAAGCAAAGTAGAGCTTTCTTCCGCCAGGCCCGAAGAAGAGAGAAACTTAGCAAGCTTCTTGTTTGTTCAATGGAGGAAGATCGCTTGAAGGAAATTCTTGATGATGACATCGTTAACGAGAGTAACATTGAGACGCTAAGAAACTTGGCAGAACTCGCAAGAAGATGTGTTAGGTTGAAAGGGGAGGAGAGGCCTAGCATGAAAGAAGTGGCAATGGAGCTCGAGGGAATGAGAGTTACAGCAAACCATCCATGGGGAAAAGCTCAAGTTTCAAGTCCAGAAGAGACTGAGTACTTGCTTGGGTCAGCTATGAATTCAGAGGCTTATTTTGTGGATGTTAGAGGTGATGGTAGTTCTAGAGATACAACTCTTGGGACAACCACTGGGTATGATATCATGCAGATCCAATTGGCCATGCCTGATGATGATGGGCGATAATGGATCAAGACCCAAGTATTACTTTGTTATCTTTCGTCATTTCAATTTGTACTTCTGTAATTTGTTCCATCTGATATATAATTATATCAAGTAACAGTTTCTATTAAGAAATGAGAAAAATACATAGTTTTTATCAGAAATAGAAAGGGGAAGATCTCACTATACTGTTGCTGATTTTTCTTATGGTATGAATATGCCTGTGCTGATTGGTTATTTTTAATTGTTAGGCCGGCTCCCAATTCTTTATAATTAGACCGACAAGATTATGGAACTTTTAGAATTGGTCGCCTCTAACAAACATTACTTTTACATGCAAGAAGTTGTCCAGTTAACACAAGAGAAACTAATTAATAAACTGCATTCAGCATAGACCATAAACGTAACTAATTGCTACATCAAAAGGATTTCTACGAAATTTTAGGGTGTGTAGCAGAGGTGTAGGTGGGGGAGACAAAAACAGCACGTAAGGAAATTGATCTATAATTGGGGACAATATCGGTGTTGCAAACATAGACAGATGTAAAAGAAGTTGATGTTCCATCTATGCAGTTGAACAAATGCTCTTTTATAGTGAAGGGGCTGGTATTAATGTATTTTGCCTCGGCATATGCCTTTGCACAGATGACTAATTATACCAACATTATATCAAGCAAGCATCATGTAATTTTATATCTTATGCAAATTCGAATTTGTTGCTATAAACAGCTTTGATTGAATTCTTTTGGTACTTATACTTTATGTTTTCCACACGTTGCTGGTATAACTTCCCAAGCATTTTACGCACTAGGTAACTTGCTTTCTGGATTCATAATCACTTAAGGAGAAGGCTATCAGAGTTTACCTACATCTATAATTTGGCAGCCACATAAACTCTACCTATACATTTAAGAAGTTAAGGGGCTGCTTGATAACCATTTCAAATTTAATTTTTAGTTTTTATTTTTTATTTTTCATTTTTTTGTACTAGAGTATAGAAGAAAAAGATAGAGAATGGAAGTGAGAATAAGAGTGGAGATGGGATTGAGAGGGGAGATGACATGAGAGGATGGGAGGAAGGAGTAACAAAAGTAAAAACAAAAACTTGAAAGTGAAAACAATTTCAAATGGATTTCGTTTTAAGTTTTTGTTTTCACTTTTGTTAGTCCTCCCTCTCATCCTCTCCAATCTCATCCTCACTCTTATTTTCCTCTATACTTCAGCAAAAAAAATGAAAATGAAAATGAAAAATGAAATGGTTATCAAACGGGCCCTAAGTTACTAAAGAAACAAAAGAAGAAACCAAGTTTTTTTTCTTTCATCAATTCTATTGCACAGATATACACCATGTTACTTGTATAGATGGTAAATTAATTCTTGTTTCGAGATTTACTAAATTGCATGGGGTATTCTGGTCGAAAGAAAGCGAATGGCATCTGTAAATCAGAAGGAAAAATACATCAACCAGCAAAAGGTAGCTAATCTTCTTTTAATTGACGGTTTCAATCTTTGGCTACGGCTTGCGACGGTTTAGCTACCTTTAGTGACGAAACTTGGGTCCTAATTTTGGACAGTAGATTTAGCTGCGGTTTTTATCGTCGCAAAGCGCTGCTAAAAGTGGTTCCCCGACGGTCCCCAAAAACCGCCGCTAAAACTCGAAAACAGTTTTTATCTCCTCCTTTCCACGCAGAGTCCATATTTATGAAATTTTCAAATTTTATTTTGGTTGGTAATTTGAGAAAATTGTTGGGCACATATATTATTTGGTGTACAATTGTTGTGATAAATGTTTAAATACATATTTTGTTGTAATTAGGGGAGAAGAAATAAAATAGTCACCATCCAAGAAGCAATTCACTCTAAATCACCCCATAATATCTTTCCTCTGCAGCTTGCATGTAATTGCCCACAAACTCACTCACAGGGATTTGCCTGCTAAAAAATACAACCATTGGAAAGCAAATGTAAGTCAATGTGTGGGCACATGAACATCAAACGCCTTGTAGCAAGACTCAGGGAAGATAGTAGAAATGAAGTTTAAACATGTTCAACTCAATCATATATGGTTAAGTATATGTTTTCCTCGCTGCAATACCAGTGTTTTTGTTCCTCTAAGATAATTAAGGAAGTATCTAAAACTAAATTCATAGACGATAGCTTAAACATAAGGAATAATTCTACCACTAAACTTTAGTAGTTAATACGGATGATCCACTCCCCAGACCATATTTAAGATTATAACCCTAACTTCTTGTATCCTTTCTATTGGACCATACAGATAAAAGCCCACTAAGAAGGTAACTTCCATATATACATACAAACGAAGTGTTTAACTGAAATTCAAACTCATAATTGGAGGCTGGAACCCAGAAAATCAATCTAAGCCCCATAAAATTTAAAATGAAGTTTTTAAATGGATCAATAATAAAATCTACCTTAGATATTAGCCAAGCTTTCTGCAAGTGATTAAGAAAACTAGAGGAGCTTCAAACGAGGGTTTTAACATGAGTGCATAAAGAAAGAAAAAAGGCTCGGCATCATGTGGTCAATTAATCCCAAACATCAAATACATAATAGCAATACCACCATTAGAAATCAAATGTATGTCAATCCATGTATACACAAACATCAAATACATTATAGCAGAAACGAAGTTTAAACACTTTCAACTCAATTGTATGTGTACACTATTATTTGGAATTAAGACATGACACTTCATGTAATGTTCTTCCCCTTTGATGTACCCTATGGCAACTCTTGGAATAAACTTTTTGATGCCTAAAATGCGTAACCAGGACATAGTTAAGTATATGTTTCCCTAAGATAAATGCAACCCAATCTTGAAATAGAAAACTTTAAATGAGGACATAATTAAGGAGGTATCTAAAACTAAATTCAAAGAAGATAGCTTAAACAGAAGGAATAATTTTTCCACTAATTTTTAGTAGCTACTAGAGATCAAGATTCCATTTCCCAGTACATATTTAAGTTTATGAGCCTACCTTCTTGTATCCTTGTATTGGACCAGCGACAGATAAAACTTCACTAAGAAGGTAACTTACATAATTGGAAGTTGGAGCCCAGAGAATCAATCTTATTCCCCATAAAATTTAAAATGAAGTTTTCAAATAGATCAATAACAAGATTTACCTTAGTGATTAGCCAAGCCTTCTCCATGTGATTAACAAAACTAGATGAGCTTTCATATAACTCTACCACCAAAACTCAAATTCCAAAAACCCTTGAACCGAAGATTTTAACATGACCGTTTAAAGGAAAAAAAAAGCTTGGCATGCGGTCAGATTAATCCCAAGTTCTTTTTTTTCTTTTATTGGCCTGCATCACTCTACCGACTTGTACTCATACATCTCCATTGAAATAATTCACAACTGTTATCTCTCACTCTATTAGGCATTTCATCCCATCCAAAACCATGAAAACAAATTACATAAACCTTAATATCTTCGCATGAAACAAATCTTAGTTAAATGCCTATCATTTCATTTACAGATTGATATCGGATACTCTAAATAAGTTAAACACAGCCACAGCCAAAATCAAATTCAGTTCTTCAAACATATTGAGTTAGAATCCTACATTTACTACTACAACAAAATAAGTGGGAGTGAGGCTATATAAGCCTGCGAATATATATATTTTTAAATAGGGGCAATTGCCGCCTACATTGGGTCCGCCATTAATGTGAGAAGTGTTAGTGGGTAGTCTTGTCTCTGTAGTTTCATGTTTTCGATCAACTTTTGAAAAAAGATGCAAACTTTGATATTTTACAGAGTGCGATGTATGGAAATAGAAAGAAAAAAAAAATGAAGATGCGATTTTCAACCGATTAGATATCCATTGTAAAATCCAGTGTTTACCTTCTCTTTAGTAACTCGACAGAGGTTTCCCGGCGGCTACGGTAGTGCGAGCGGCGACGTCGTCTTGGGAGTTAGGTTTAGGGATTCTCTCTTGTCGAATTGATTTGGGGATTTTTGCCGTTGTAACCGCAATCAATTTCTCTGTAGGCAATGGGTCGGGTTGTAATCAGATTTGGGCCATACGTGTGGTCTTTTTTCTTTTCTAGACATTTGACTTTTGACCCACAATATTGAAAGTCAAACTGTTGACCTCGACATAACTTGATCTGATATCATTTTATCATTCAATTATATTATTGAAATTTAAGTAATTTCTTGAAGCACCTTGTTCATTGATTTTGCTGATCTCAATTAGATGCATTAATGATTTCCAATTTGCATGATTTTTTGCAATGATGATCTCTGAATGAAGATTTGCAATGATAATTTCTGAATGAAGATGTGAAAAATAGATGATTTGATAGGTGAAAAAAATTTCATAGGATACCTAAAGGATGTTCCTCAAATAAAATTATTTGAGAAATCTCTTAATAAAATGAGACTATATATATAGCATTTATATAAAGTTTAATGTTATTTTCCATCCTTTCAATTTCTACTTTTGTAATTATCTCCATCTGATATATAATTCATAAACTGCATGCAGCAGCATAGGCTAATTGCTACATCAAAAGGATGTGCATGAAATTTTAGGTGGGGGAGACAAAAGCAGCACGTGAGGAAATTGATCTATAATTGGCATTTAGTGTCTGGAAGTAATATTATTTATAGTATTTTTCTGAAGCCAGAAATTTTATGTACAATAAACAAATACATATGGGTTTGGAAGCCCATGAATGCCAGTAAAGAAAAACAGTCAAACCATGCAGGCAAAGGTTTCATCCCCTTTGACCCTTTTTCCATTACAAGCCAAGGCCTTCCAGCTCTCATGAAGTAAAAAAAACACATAAAAAAACCAATTTGAAGTCAGGATCAAGTACACATATTTGATTTTTGGCCGGCCTAAAACAAACAAAAACACGTATGCTTTCTTCTTTATTATTGGTGTAGATTTGTCCTGGCTTTGTCACATAATAAAAGGACATGGGTCCTTATTTTGTCATGATCTTGTTTGGACTGTGAACCGGTAAACAAGAATTAGAGCCGGCTTAGAAAACTTCAACTTGGACTGGAAAAGTAGAGCGCACAAATTAGTACTGAGGAGGAGGAAGATGCATTCCTCTTGAAACACACTGGCTTTGATTGGATTGGATGGCCTTACATGGGATTATTCTGCAACTCTTCTTAGTGGGAATGGTTGTATTAGCAGCTGCAGAAGCTCAAGCCTTGCCTGGCTGCCCAAACCAATGTGGAAATTTGTCAATTCCTTTCCCATTTGGCCTAGCTAAAGGCTGTTACCTCAGAGATGAGTTTTTCATTGATTGTAATGAAACCAACCAAACCCCAACACCATATTTGAATGGAACTGGGATCCCAATTTCCAACTTATCCCTTAATGGTGAGTTACAAATAATGCAATTTGTAGCCAGGGATTGCTATGACCAAGATGGTTCTTTAGACACAAAACTCAGCAACACCCCAAGGCTCAAGCTTTTCCCTCCTTACACAATCTCCGGCACCAAAAACAAGTTCATTGCCGTTGGTTGCGACACTTACGCAATCTTTGAAGGTGTTCGGGGCAAAGAAAAGTACATAACTGGGTGCATGACCTTCTGTGAGAGTCTCGGAAGCATTAGTGAGTCTTGCTCTGGCATTGGGTGCTGTCAAACTTCAATCCCAAGTGGACTTCAAGTGCGTACCGTGACAATGAGTAGCTACTACAATCATACATTTATATGGGACTTCAACCCCTGCAGCTACTCCTTCATTGTGGAAGAAGGCCAGTTTACATTCTCTAGTAAAAGTTTCCAAGAACTGAAATCTATAAGCCGGCTTCCGATGGTTCTCAACTGGGCAATTGGGGATGAACCATGTGATGCAGCTCAACATAGGCAGGATTATGCATGCAAGGGAAATAGCACATGTGTCAACCCCCTCAATCTGTCTGGTTATTTTTGTGAATGCTTGCCAGGTTATGAAGGAAATCCATACCTCCCAGACGGTTGTCAAGGTACTGATTATGATCTCTTATATACATCTAATTTGATAATTATGAGCCTTAATTATGTGTTTGCTAATGGAAATGGATCCTCTGTTCTTTTCAGATACCGATGAGTGCCAGATTTCAAACCCCTGCAGTGCAGGAGCGTGTGTAAACGTACTTGGAAATTATTCTTGTGTATGTCCAAAAGGTTTCAAAGGCGATGGAATGAAAGCTGGAACGGGTTGCAGCAAAGACAACCCCAGCAATATTTTTAAGGGCATTCACTTGCTTACTATTTCATTGGGTATGCACATCTGGTGAACTGTTAAAATGCATCCTATATTTATTTAAGTAGATTATTATACAAAATACTTATGAAATAAAATCTGGTTGTGATTTACAGCCATGACAGTAGCCTTGTTGGTTTTGCTGGTTGGAAGTTCATGGACTTATTGGGGAACGAAGAAAATGAGGTTCATCAAACTCAAAGAAAAATACTTCCAAGAAAATGGTGGATTCTTGTTGCAGCAACAACTCGCTAGTCGCGGAGGATCTGTGGAGACAATGAAAATTTTTACCGCAGAAGAACTTGAGAAGGCTACAAACAATTACCATGAAAGCAGAGTCCTTGGTGAAGGAGGATATGGAACAGTGTACAAAGGAATACTAGAAGATGACAAAGTGGTTGCCATAAAAAAGTCCAAGATTTGTGCCCCCGCTCAGAATGAGCAATTTGTTAACGAGGTGATTGTTCTTTCTCAAATCAACCATAGGAATGTGGTGAGGCTGTTAGGTTGTTGTTTAGAGACGCCGATGCCATTGTTGGTTTACGAGTTCATCATCAACGGGACTTTGTCGGAGCATATTCACAACAAATGCAGAGAATCTTTACTTTCATGGGAGCTGCGGTTGAAGATAGCCGCAGAGACTGCAGGAGCACTGGCATACTTACACTCCTCCACTTCCATCCCGATCATACACCGAGATGTGAAGACGACGAATGTACTATTAGATGAAAATTACATAGCAAAAGTGTCCGACTTCGGAGCTTCACGGTTGATTCCTCTAGATCAAGCTCAAATAACTACTTTAGTGCAAGGAACACTCGGGTACTTGGACCCTGAATACTTCCATTCAAACCAACTAACGGAAAAGAGTGACGTGTATAGCTTTGGAGTTGTCCTTACAGAGCTACTAACAAGCAAAGTGGCACTTTCTTTTGCCAGGCCGGAGGCAGAGAGAAATCTAGCGAGCTTCTTTGTTTGTTCAGTGGAACAGGGTCGCTTGAATCAAATTCTTGATGAAGACATAGTCAATGAGGGAAATATTGAGACACTTAAAAAAGTGGCTGATCTTGCAAATAGATGTTTAAGGGTAAAAAGGGAGGAAAGGCCTACCATGAAACACGTAGCCATGGAGCTGGAGGGGATGATGATTATGGCAAAGCATCCATGGGGAAAGGCCAATTTCGGCCCAGAGGACACTGAATACTTACTTGGGTCAGCTTCAATGGCTTCTGTTAGAGGTGACAATTGTTCTAGTACCGGTACAACTACTGATGCAACTACTGTGTACGACAGCATGCGAATCGAAATCGAAATGTTAATGCGACACAACGGGCGATAGCTCCTCGACTGGTCAATAGTGATGTAATGTAGGAAATCTTACCAATATTAGTTTGTTTTGATTTCGAGACAGTGCCTCATTTAAGAAAAGGGCACATCAGAGTACATACTACAATGTACTGCGTTGTAAAGTTATGTGGAAAAATATATTCTAACGAGAATGAGTGAAGATTACACAAAACTACTCAGGCACCCATGAAATAAAATTAAAACACAGTATATTTAAAATCCTGTCAGCTCAGCTTGCATTTCTCATGATGGAATTCGAGAAGAAAATTTAACAGGAAAATGTTGCTGTCTACAATATATGAAATTTCAAAGTTACACATTTCGGGAAAAGCAATTAATTTGCCAGCTCAATCTAATTTGTTTATTCTCAAAAGACACAAGAATCACCTAGATCAAAATCCTTAACCTGTTCATTACAGTGAAAACCATTATCATGAACAATAAAATTTGAAATAGAAATACAAGAGAAGCACAACCTAATCAAATCCCTTGAGATAACTAACATAACCGTTGTTGTAGTGTAGCTGAAGGTTGAAAAATTGCTCCTACTTGAGCAGCAGGAGATCATCTTATCTGGGTAGGAGAACAGAGCAACCCAGATGCATCCGCTCCAACCACTGCAAGATCACAAACAGTACAGAGCTGCCCTTCTTGGCCCAGAACAAACCGAGAACTGCAGTACGGGCATGAAACATCCTTCTGCCCACGGTAAATAGGCACATATGTTGCACCACAAACCACAAATGGGTTTCTGAAATCGTAATTTAGCTGGGTTGCATCATTCATGTTCTTCTCGGCAGCCTGGAGGACTTGTCTTGCAGTCTTTGCATGGTTTTCAGTGGTGGGATTTGTCTCCAAAAGTCGCCTGGCAAAGTTGGCTGCTGTGTTGAGATTACCAGCCTTAAAGCAAACACTCATGGCATTCAGTAATGCAAGTCTCAAGTGAGGCGTCTGAAGGTTACAGTGGGTGAAGTAAGCTGCTAGCTCCTGTTGGCGAACGGGATTGTCCTTAAGTTCCCTCCTCTTAAGCTCCATCTTCAAACCCAGAACATACTCCTTCACAATGATAATTAATTCTTTTACTTCATCAACCTCTCTCCTTGAATCAACTACAATCAAAGGAATAGTATGCAGAATACCAAGGAGAAGTCGTAAAGCCTCTGTAAATTTCCCCGTAGTTGTGGCCTTGTAACCCGCCTTAAGCTTCTCTTCCAGCTCTGAGAATTTAAACACAAGAGCAGGAGGACCCCTAACATTAGGAGTAGCTGACTCACTCCATCCCCTCTCAACAGCCACAGAGATCACAGGAGCTGACGAGAAGGCACGTAGATACGTATGACTGCCCATGTGTAAGTCAAGAAACAATTGTCTTAGGGGAGCAAAGTTCTTTATACCCAGCTGCCGGTTCAACAAACGCATTGCAATATCGAAATTCCCAGCCGCTGCATGTTCAGCAGCAAGAGATGACTTCTGGGTCCAAATTTGACTTACAGGCATACCAGGAGTTGGGGCAACAAACACAGAAGAACGGGCATTACTTGCAGTTTTGGGAGTATCAATCTCAGGTGGAAGTTCAAGATCTTCAAGATCCCATCCTCCCTCCTCATTTTCCTCATGTTCTTCCTCATCCTCCAGCACTGCACTGATGTCTCCATTTGGAATGTTTTCCACGTCAACAATATCCAAAGACCACCCTCAAATATTCCTCTCATAACCCTCAACAAGGGCCAATCTCCACCACAGATGATTGGGGTTGGAGGCATCAAAAGAGATGGAGATTTCCCCTTGGGTAAAATCGGAACATTATCTCCCAGTTCAGCTGCCAAACGTTCTGCAATATCATGGAGGCCATGAACTACAGCTGTGCTATAAGCAAGGGGTAAATGACCAGCATTCTCCAATATCTTAACACGCTCTCTGATGTCACCCAAATATAGAGCATTGTGGAATTGACCCATCACATCATTCTTGACTTCAGCAATTTTCAGCATTTTGGACAATTTATCCAAGTTTCCAGTCACAAGATAGAGGAATGATAGCCTCTCAAAATTCTTTGTCTTCTGATACGCATATTCTACAATGCCTGCATTACCCTGGCGAAGGGCCTCCACTCCCAAACGATACCAGTGATCTTTCTCATCAATTTCCTTGGCAGAAGCAACAGCAATCTGGATGTTTCCACTCCCTAGTGCCAAGTTGAAGCGAGTCCTTTCATCCTTCACAAAATGAAGGGCAACCTCAGGGAAACCTTTCTGCTGTAGATATGCAATCATGGCCTGGCCACAGAGCTCAGAGCTCTTAATCATGCTCATAACCTGGTCATACCTCTTCTTCAGTAAGGATAGCTTGAAAACATATTCTGTTGCATCAACAACAATGGCACAGTTCTTCCCATCTCGATCCAAGCAATGGATGGTGCTTCCATACACTTTTGTTATATATACTGGAACATCTAGGGTCCTGATGATTCCATTGTCCCCATTGGGAAGGCAGTATTTGATGTGGTTCAAGGTTGTATATATGAAAACGCCATTGTCATCCCAGGCTCCACTCTTTACACGAATTGTCTCATGGAGAGTGCACTGATGCACAAGCTTCTTGTTGGCTATCACAATAGAATGTTTGCTCAGCAAAGCAATGCTTTCCATATCGTTTGACCAAACAACATACCTTACAAAAGGAGTTTGAAGCTCCCCAAGAATAATTCTCTGCTGCAGGTCAAAAATAATAACTCTGTCCTCTGCCCTGCAAAGCAAGTTTCCAGTTCCAGCATAAAATATTGCATCAGCAACAATAGGTAGGGCACTCTTCTTGACAATCTCATTTTTAAGGTTCTTAACTATAACTTGATTGCTGCTCTTTTCAAGCACTGCAAACCTATTCCTAGCCACGAACACAGCTGGCCCTCCAATTCCTCTTTTTGCCTCCTGCACAATATCACCCCGGCCAAAGCTATCTTTGGGTATAATGTATAGCTCATAAGAACCCCCTTCTGTTTCTGAACATATCAAAACAGCATTTTCTGTAGGGCTATAAGATAGTGTTTTAGCCCCTTGATTCAAGGTGGAAGAACCAGGCCTTCGAATAGGGATAACCTGAGTGTCTCTCTGGGTAGAGAACTCAAAGAAGCGGAGAAAACGATCTTTAACATAGAACATTGAATCACCACTAACAGAAAAGGCAGGACGTTCTCTCTCCAATTTAAAGACGATCATGCCACTGTCATGACCAGCAGCCAAAAGGTTCATTTCAGGATGTGCTGCAAGAATCCAGAACCTATCATGCTCTCTACGAAATGTCTGAAGACCAGTCCGTTTTGTGGCATCCCAGACTCGGATGCTTCTATCCTCTGAATTGGACACAATAATATCCTGCCTTGCATGGAATAAAACACATGATACATTGTTCATGTGCCCCCTTAAGGTGTCCACCTCCCAAGCCTTTGTATCTGAAATTGGAAAGATCAACAGGTGACTATTATTACTAAACAGATTTCTGTAACTCTAATTTTGCCTTCTTTCTAAAGCGCACACACTAGAAGAGTTTTTATTTTTTACTTTTAAAAGTTAGACCAATAAGAGCTTAATTGTCCAATGTATATGCACATAATATTTACCAAGAAATATATAAGCACACGTACAAAAGCAATTATGTGGCTTTCTTCAGTGCTACTGAACAGGCCATGAATTAACTTTTACAAAACAAGGCTTTATTAATAAAAGGAATGTACAAAATTACCAACAGATGTCTGGTATTTGACAGAACAATAATAGAAAATTAAGCTAAATGGCAATTTGGGAGCTAAAAACTAATCTATTGCCCTCTCTTCAACAACATGAAACAATTTACCCCAATGGGTTACCAATTAAAACGAGAAAATAAAAGAAAATGTTAAGTGTTTTTGAGGTTACTATATCGTGTACATGGTTGCAACTTGCAACAGAAAGGCAGATCTTCAGTAGGATGATTAAAAGCTAAAAAATTAGTCTTTAAACACCTAGTTTCCTAACATATGCTGTGTTTGGCATCATGAACACTGGATTACTTGTTTTTAAAATATAATATATAATTAAATAAATAATTATATTTAAAAATTCTTACCAGAGTTGGATTTAGCTTTTACAAAAAATATATTAATTAAATAACAAAATTTCATTCAAGTATTCTAGCCTACTTTTGATACTTGAAAAAGAAGCAGATCCATACACATTTTTGTTTCTTGTTAAAAAAATCTTTGGAGGTGCATACTTATTAGAATGTTTATTTCACAGGACACCTGAAACAGAAGAAAAAAGGCATACCATTCATTCGCCAAAGTTTCACTTGTCGATCGTCTGCTCCAGAGACGATCAGAGGGAGTGTGGGATGGAATGATGCCCAATTAACACCCCGATCATGACCTTCCAAGACATACTTCACAACAGCATCAACTCCACCAAAGAAATCTGCATTCATCTGACTCAGGCGCAGGATGTCATCTGCAGGGGCAACCGTCTTTTTCCTGAGGGCACCAATATCCCAAACACGAACAGTTTGATCCAAGGATGCTGAGACAACAAGATCCTCCTTTGGATGGAATAAGGCACACATGACGTAATGGTTGTGTCCAGTGAGCACAGAAATACAAGTTCGGGACTGCCAATTCCATATTCTGATTGTCTGATCATCGCTAGCACTGACAATCCATGGGTACTCATGATGGAATTGAACAGTGCGTATGTAATCAAGGTGTCCAAGAAGTGTAAACAAACACCTATGCAGCTTGTAATTCCACACCTTGATCTTGTAATCATCCCCTGCCATTTAAGCTTAAACAATGAATTACTTCCTTCCAGGATCTCTTCGGAGTCAGCAGCGCCATCATGTAATAAAATAAAACTTACAAACAAGAAATATTCTTCTCAGCTTGATAGAACTTGGAAAAACACAGGTACCATATTTAAGATTAAGAAATATATGGGTGAATAGTCTAGATCTGACTGTTTCTACACGGCAAAAAGAAGAACCTAATAAACTAACATTTCTAATGAATCCAATGGGTGATGTGCAAGAAGGTGACACATAATATTACACAAAACTAACATGGCAGAATAACATGCAATATACCAATTTCACATCGAATCTAAGCACACCGTGAAAACAAGAAATCAAGTGCTGAAATTTTCAGATGGTATCACGGAATGAACCAACAGAAAACATAAAATTTTGAATTTTGATGTTATACCTCCAGAGACGAAAAGCGGCTGAGAGGTGTGGAAATGGACACCACGTACAGGGCCATCGTGCTCGTCAAAACGGTCGATGAGAGTGCCCATTCGGTAATCCCAGAGCTGGATCACACCGCTGTGGAGACTGGCCAAGATCCATGGCCTCTTGCTGTGAAAGCTCAGCCCCTTCACTCGATTACTCTTGGTCTCGAATTTCGTCAGCATCTCAAAACACAATTGAATGCCCCCCTGATTGAAATCAAGATCAAACAACCGACACCTCTTTAATTGATTGAAACTCAATTCAGCAATACAAATCACGTCTCAAGGCTATCCAATTGATAATACTTTCAATCTAATCAATTCATTGTTTTCTTATCTATTTTATCAGCAAACAATCAGGGGAGGTGAATTTCGAGATTGAACTGATACGTATAAAGAAAAGAAAGAGAGAAAATGTACCTCAGATCTGGTAATGCGGATTGTTGATTAGTAAAGCGGCGATACGAGATGATGGATTTGTTTACGATATGATAATGCACTGCAATCCAACAAATCGTCCAATGATCCAGACAAATTTTCTCTTCTTTTCTCAGAAGCCAATCAGCAGGTGAGAGAAATTGAGGGAGGGAGAGAGAGAGAGAGAGAGAGAGAGAGAGAGAGAGAGAGAGACTCAGATCCGGGAATGCAGAGATTCAATCATATGAAGGCTAAATACATCAAAACTGCAATGCTCAGAGAGAGAGAGAGAGAGAGAGAGAGAGAGAGAGAGAAGAGGTCACTACAAAGCAGTCAGTGACCTTGCAGATCTGTTTTGGGTTTTCAAGCAAAGCTCTTTTATTTCTTTCTTACTTTCGTTCGTTCTTGGTTTGTCTTTCGTTTTTTGGACAAGGTGGTCACTGGTCACGTTTTATTCAATTCAATTCCTTGAACCTGATTTTTAGGCTTCTTTTTCTTTTATAGGGGCAATGGTCTACGAAAATTGATATTTCTCATACATAAATCACTTATTTTGAATTTTAATCGTGCATGGTGAAGAGCTAGCAGCTTGAATTATAAGCCTTCCTTTGAACTACTGAAGTGTAAAGTTATCAAAGTTGTAATAGCCTTTGTTAAGTAATTTTTATTTACATGAAATTTGCAACTCACATCGTGGTTACATCCTCTTTAATGTTAACTTAATCTCGAAAATGATGTGATGAATATTAGTTTATTTTACGTCTGTTCAGAGAATTGTGTTATTAGGACCCAATATCTCATATTGAAAAACTATACATATCTTGAGATGGCTTAAGAAATCTTGAGCAATGTTTCTTTACAAGCCAATTTTTATGGGCAAGTTCTACCCGTGGAGTATTATCAAATTTATCTATTAAAATACCATTGAACTAAGAGGCAGCTGGTGTAAAATTGTGTTTAATTAGGCAGGATCATTTCTGGTCAGGTATAATTCTATTATTAGGTAGAATCATGTCTGATGAGGTAAAACCGAATTACATGATTAACAACATGCCGTGCGAATTAATCTCTTCCTAGCCGCATGACTGATCAAATGGGAAAAAGAAAGCATGAAAACGTTAGCTATGATGGCGAGGGAAGTTTGGAAATGAGATTAGGATTAGGAAGAGCAGAACAATTTGAATTAGGTACAGAAGCCAAAAATACATACAAGAATGAAAAGATTTTGGTAATGATGATCAACAATTGAAAATAAGAATGATGCAATAATTACGGTGGTGATGCCATATATTCCACTGGTAAGTCCAAAAGTGAACAGCTTTGGATCTCAACAACAGCAACAACATATTTACCAAGCTTTGTAAAACATTATTATTGCATTTATCAGATTTAAAAATAAATAAAAGAAAGAAATGCGAATGGCTTCAAAAGAAAGAAATGAGAATGGCTTCAAAAGAAAGAAATGATTATTCAATAAACATTGTCAACCTACAACACCAGTTTAATCCCTATTTTGTCCCCACCATTCCACCCACACCAAATTTATATAGTACAATAAGCCAAATTTATATATTACAACAATCAAAATTGCATCATTTGCAGATTTCAATACTAGCTAGCTGGTACGTGTTCTCAAAAATGGCAATTCTACCAAAGAGAACAAATTTGGGAAAGGTTGCGCGGTAATCACCTCACATTCGGAACCTGCCTAGCTTCGATATCCTTAAGTCTAAGGGTTACAGCTCTCTTGTGAGCCTCTAGTCCCTCAACTTCAGCCATGGTTGCCACATACGGGCCAAGCTTTTGCAAACCTTCCTCTGTCAAAGACTGCACTGTCATGTACTTAAGGAAGGAGTCCAAAGACACACCACCATACATCCTCGCATAGCCATATGTTGGGAGGACATGGTTTGTCCCACTCGCATAATCTCCCACACTCTCTGGTGTCCACTGTCCTAAGAATACAGAACCTGCAGGGGAAAGATATCAAAGTTCAGATATCTAATCATCTTATTTCGACGACCGGAAGAAAAAAGTGTGATGCATGCAAAATGCACAGGTAAATAACAAATTAGTGATAAATGGCATGACACTAAAAAAAATCTACGTTCGCAATCATCGCCGAAGTTAGCAGCAAAAGGAAAAGGAAAATGAAAGAAAGAAAAGGACAACACTGTCAAGTAACAGTATAAGAGTAACTATACCCGCATTCTCAATGAAACTCTCCCATTTTTCTGCATCCTTGACATTGATGATCAGATGCTCGGGTGCATATAAGTTTGAAAAATAGACTGCCTGAAACAGCCACAATCATGTCTAGTTTTAGAATCACGCAGAACTTCTCAAACAACATACAAGTAAACAAAAATGAATGCATGTACACTTGCACATTCTAACATAACTTTCTTCATAAAAATACGAAAAGAAACCCTTTCCTCATTGTGATTCCAATGATGTTTTGGTGATAGACATGTCATATTAGGATGCAAGGACAAACCTCAACCATATCACGAGCAAACACTGTGAAACTGTGGCTCAGTGCTTTTGAGGCAAACTCTCCCCTTGGTAGGCTTTGGCACTGTTTACTGATTTCCTCCTCTATAGCTTTAAAATCCACACCATCCCCAGCAATTACAAGAACAACTTGACTATCAGGGCCATGCTCAGCCTGAAATTGCATTATTTACTCATACATCAGGTTGGCCACAAGCATTCCCAAATACCATATCAAGCATTTAGATTTCATATAATGCACTAAAATTTCTGCAACAAATAACAAATGTGCCTTATTATACTAAAATTCATATATTCTATAGTAAAAGCTAGATTTCTAATTATAGGGGAAAACTAAATACACATAGTACTCTTGCCTGAAGCAGTTCAGTAAACTGAAGTTGATTAATATTCCAAACAGTAAAGGTGCAAAATTGTATTTACTTCAAGCAAAGACATCTGAATCACAAGTACCTAATATGATTATGTTTCAATTCTAAATGTGGAATCTAACTGGCAGGAATATTGGAATTGGTTTTAATATAAACAATTAAACGAGACCTGTCATATTGTAACACTTCAGGCAGGATGCACTTAATACCGTTGGATTTTACCATTACGTCACAGCAGAAAAAATGAACCATAACAGAACAGCCTGAACCTTTCATTATGAAAGTGATCAATCACAAACTTAAAGAAGCATTGCAGAACAAGTAAGTACCTGAGAAAGCAAATCTGCAGCTATATGAACAGGACTGGCATGTTTGTCAGCAATGACCAAAACTTCTGAAGGGCCTGCAGGCATGTCAATTGAAACCATGGCTTCGCTGTTCTGTTAAGAAAATTAGAAAGGCGGGTAGGAAGTCAAATCAAGATGGTAAAAACAATAAATCTCCCATAACTCCCATTTTTCAACTTCAACAAAAGTTATGAAAACAACTTCTAATAGTAAAAATGTGTACCTGGAGAATCATTTTTGCAGCAGTGACATATTGATTTCCAGGGCCAAAAATTTTTTCAACCTGCAAATTATTTGAAAACAAAATTAGATACAGAAAATTCTTTTATGAAATTTGAAAGAAAAATTACAACATATTAGCTAAGCTAACTTTGGTCCTCTATTTTTATTCAAAAGAAATCATGCTCAGAGGTTCAGAACCCGAGTTAAAAACTTAGCAACAAATTTAAGGCCTTAGCACAAATATCTGCATAAGTTACGAAAATCATAATAACAAGATAATGGGAAACTAACACCTTTGGGCAAGATTTGGTACCCCAAGCCATAGCAGCTATTGCCTACAAAGCAAAAAATATTGTCAGATTGCTGTATGTAATGAAGTATATAAGAATACTTTCGGTGTTTATAAACCTGAGCACCACCAGCTTTAAGGATGTGAGTTACACCAGCCTTCTTTGCACAATATAGTACTTCCTGAAGGGCAAAACAAAAATGATCAGCTCTCATTTAGGAATCCCCTCATAATGCATTCCGTCCAAAGTAAAGAATGCCTGGCACATACCTTGCATATGGTGCCATCCTGACTTGGGGGAGTTGCAAGAACAACAGTTTTACACCCAGCAATCTGTGCAGGCTGGTACACATGATAAAGCAGAAGTCCATCAAATCATTGCAACATAATAATCGATAACCATGATAAAGACCACAGAGAAACTTTTACAACAAATATGATCAACTTACAACTGAAAGCATCAGAGCTGTTGAAGGTAAAACTGCAGTTCCTCCTGGAACATAAACACCCACAGAACCGATGCTTCTCGCCACCCGTTTACATTTGACACCCTAAGAGGTTAAAGATACGTAAAGGCTCTGTGTATATAGGAAGAAGCAAGCTACAATATAGGCTTACCTTCATGTTCTCAACACTTTTCTCAACTGATTTCTGAGCAAAATGAAATGCATATATGTTGTCATATGCCACATCAAATGCTTCTCTAATAGCTGCATCAAGCTGCATGAGGAAGATATCAGAATTGAAAACATAAATAAATATCTTGTATCTAGAAAACATGTCTAAATAGCAATACCTCTGGATCTGGAAGCTCAGAAACTTCTACGATAATGTTATCCAGTTCTACTTTGTCAAATCTTGCAGTATATCTGTGTGAGAGAAAAAATAAACAAATTTTTTTTATAAAAAAAATTACTTTATTAGTAAAATTGCTGCATAAACAAACATGTTCATTAATATAGATAATAATAAATCAATAAATTAATTAAAAATAATAATCAAAGAAGTACATACTCCTTGATCGCAGCATCACCTCTTTTGCGAACATCATCAACTATTGGGTTGACCTAACCAAGTACAGCTACTATAATTCATGAGCTACTTCATTTATGATTATAAATACCCCAAAAAAATATCTGGTTTTCAAAGAACAGTCAGTATTTGGGAACAAAAGAAAAGCTCACCGTGCTAAAAATGGAAGAAAAATCAATTCGAGGACGAGCTTTCAGGCTTTCAACCTCCGGTGGAGATAGTTCAGACAACCTGTAAGACTTCATTGAGCAAGTTGTTCCCTTACAAGCAAACCCTAAGCCAACAGTCAACTTTAGAATATCAGGGAAAACAAGTACAAATAAGAAATAGCATTACATTTCTGGGTCAGGAAACAGATTCCAAAGCTTACTCAACCCACAGGAGTTAACTTGCATACATAAGCATCTATCATCTACCGCATAACTTGCATATATGGACAGACAAGCAGCATTTATACATAAATTTACCTTTTAAGTATAAAAACGTCTTTTATTGGGTAAGTTTGCACACTTTATTTGCACAAACGCAAATATAGATGAGTCAACTGACATAAATCTAAACCTCATTAGCTTTATACATCTGAATAACTTTATAGAGGCTTCGTACTTTTCAATCCAACTGTTGACCATATCCTAATCATGCCAACGATTTCACCAAATTTCAAGTCAATCCGATACTGATTAGCACTGTACTAACTTAATGTATAGTACAGATGAAAAGGTTAAAGATACCAAACGGCCTTACAATTTAAACATGTATACGAAAAATACCAACTTGATACAATACAGATGGAATGCTTGGATATATTCAGTTTACTTGAAATTTAACATATATGGTGAAAACAACTGAATTATATTCGATGGTTAGCAGAAACTAAGTAAAATTCACTCTTTCAATTGAGCATTATATTTTGATACCACAATCAAAAACATGAACCAATCAATTCATGAAATCGAGCAAATGGTGGCCTCATACCTCGTCGAAGAAAAATATTTGTAGTTTTCGGCGCAGCAATTAGAGGATGATATTGTCGTTTGATAAAACAATGACTGCTGCTGCGATTAAAACATAGAATCTGACTGTCCATCACCGCCTTCAATCAGACCAACTCAATTAATATTAAACATGCACGAAAAGAAAAAGAAAAACATTCTTTGTCTATTGTTTGGCTGGCGAGAAACGGTAGAGAAAAATTGACCATTCTGAATTTGCGCACGGGATTGCGAAGGAAAAGGTGGGACAAGTTAAGATTACCTGCAAAGTGGAAAGTAAGCGCGACGGCGGTGACTGACTGGAAGCGTATGGGTAGCTACTGCTTTTGCTTAGCTAAGCACAGAGTGTGCGCTTGGGTGTTCGGCCTCTGTTGTCCAGTTGTGGGCTGGAAGTGGTAAATCCAAAGCCGGTTTAACCGGCCCAAACTTTCCCTAAACGAATTTAACCCAAAGCCGAAGCGAAATTACCCTCTGTGGCAAAAAAAAAAGTGTACAAGCATAATTTTTAGGTGTTAGAAATAGTTTTGTAGTTCTTTTCTTTAATTTGATAAAAGAATTATTTATTTTTTTTAAAATGGGTCAAATACAGATAATTACCCAAATGATGGGTGTATTTTTTAATTCATACACGAACTATCAATCATTCGTTTGTCTAAAGCCGACCAACAAAGTAACTGGAGGAGTTTAGATTTTTTTTTTTTTTTGAGAGAAAAAAAAAAAAAAAAGGAGTAACTGAAGGTGCAACAAGTTATTGAGTCATTCTTATAAGGCTTCCTAAGCAAAAACTAGTAGTTGTACAACTTTGTATCAAAAACCCTTTTTACAATATACAAATGAATATGTGAGAGATATACAAACAAAGCTTGAAGCCACAATGACACACTGAGATGGAAAGAAGAGACTGAATCATACAGAGATACTCCAACAAGTACTATATAATACTGTATATCAATTGGCATGAACAAACACTGCAGTTTTTCTACTTTGTTCTCTGTCTGTAACTGATTCAAAGCTCATGGACTGTCTTGAAATTCAGTTATATCCTGGAAACTCTGCAACCTTTTTCTCCTACTGAAACTCGAATTCTTTCCATAAATAGAACCCTTCCCATTTGCCTCCACAGAGTCAGAGCCTTCAAAATTCAAAGCCTCCTTTGGAACCGGTGATGAACTGATGTAATCTACTGACTCTTGCTCCTGCTGCTGACCAAAGCACAAAGAACGGCGCACGGTATAATTCCTTGATGAAGCAGCATTTCCAGATACATATTCATCCACAAGATCAGTGGATTGAAGCTTTTGGCCCAAACTTTTCATTTGACTTTGTAGACAAGGACTTTCAGTGGTTATGTTGCAATTCAGGTTCTCATTGTTAAACCCATCTTCAGTATTCCAACTATCAAAATACTCAGTTCTTCCATTCAGCAATTCTTGTTCTTCTTCTTCAACCATATCTGCCCAACTTTTCTTACCCTTACTGTACATTGAAAAATCAGGGGCCGACTTTTGATTTTCTGCTACAGGTTGATGGACATCATCTACTTTACTGGAAGTGTTCTCTCCAAAGCAGTCTTCCACAAAAGCATTCCTCCATTCCATGCTGCCTAAAACAGTTGTATCAGAACTCTGATTCTGACCTCCATCAGTGGAAATTTCTAGTGCTTTTGCATCTTCACCTACCATTTGTGGTTCTGCAGATTTCTTCATACCACCATTTTCCCAACTGGTCCTTCTCCAGTCTCCATTCACAGTATTCTGGGAAGAATTGACCACCACAGCTTCATCTTTCAGTTGGAAACAGCCATCATTTGCCCGAGAAGTACACTTCCAATTTCCACTTGATATAGGTTGCAAAACAGATCGTACTGCTGCATCTTTTTGGGGCCTCTTCCTCAAATCTCTGCTAATTGGTGAAGTAATACTAGATACTGAGTTTTGAAATGCCACTTCTGACTTTCCAGTTGTTGAAGCTAGCAAATCTTCATTGAGACTTCGAACAACATGTGCTCGCATGTTTTCTGGTCTTGAACATGGCTGAAATGAAAGTTTTTTATTTGAACTGCCAACACCACGTCCCCATATTTCCCTAGTCTGATGTCCATCATTAAATCCCCGTGAAGATCTTCTTGGTTGTGTAAATAGAACTTCTCGATTCCATATATCAGGAGCTGGAGAAAAGAATGTTTTTGAATATGGAGTTGTTTCTGTTCCAACTATACCACCCTGATTTTCCTTCATTCTGCTGGAAAAACTAGACCTGCCCTCACATGAGTTTTTGAAATAACAATCTTTCTTCCACTTATTAACAGATACAGTCTCTTCTTCATGTCCATCTGCCCATCTTCTAGAGATCATGCATCCAGAAACATAATGCTGACCTTCGTTTGTCAAGCTATTAACTTGTTTCGAGTTTCTGTTGATGGGTGATATAGGAGATCTTGAAATTTCTTTGCAGCAGTTTTCATCCAGTTGAATTGGTCTTAAAACTGATTTTGCCTCTAGTTCAGTCAGCATCTGAATTGCACGCTCAAAGGACTTAGCGTAAGATTCATCCATTGGTTTATTTCCAGATGAAGCTCTTACAACTTGAAGCAGAGATTTTGCTTCTGCAAGTCTGTTCATGTGCATCAAGCAGATTGCTAAATTGCACTGCTTGTTCTTATCCAGCTCCAATGACAGAGATTTCCTGAGATTTTTATGGAATAAATCATATATATATATATATATATATATATATATATATATAAAAAAAAAAATATATTCACACATATATATATAGAGAGAGGTATGAGAGAAA